GCCATTTACTGCCATAAGTAAGCTGAGCAGCTGCTCCCTCGTGTAAACTTCTAAGAAGCACTTATTATTTTGACTGAAACTTCTTGAAGCTAATAGGTTATCATAGTTTTCACATTATTTAAAGCTTGATTGAAAGATACTGCTTCAGTTATACTGTTATTATTTTGGAATAGATAAACAATTAATAGAGATGTAAATGGATATGAAGGCCATATAATCCACTTTGTAAGGATTGGCTTATATGATGGCCATATAATTCACCTTGTAAGGATTGACTTAATATGATTTCTCTTTTTTAACTCCCGAGCATCTTTTGCCATTGCTTCATTGGCTAAATTTAGATTTATGTCTCATATCTATTCGTTTCCTCTCTATTTTCTCTCTTTATAAGACCTGGACTGTTGGCTGACTTTGATCCCAATTCACATCCTAGCTAGTGCATACTATTTTGTGGGGGAAACAACTACATCTAAAGCAAGAGTCTTAAAGATTTATTCTATAATTAATATCATATATTGCTGCTAAACTGGAACATCGCACCTTGAGATTAAATTGAACAAAAACTATGATGATAGAAGTAGAATCAAATTCTATTACTTTCCCAGATTTACTTCATAATTCGTATACTTCTGGTTCTTGGAAGCATTTGATGAACCCACTGAGAGATTATGTTCATGCAACTTTCTAGCAACAACTTTTTCTCACTGTTGTATCTAAATGGTTTTCATTGCAAATAGATTACTTGTTTTCAAGCCAGTTCCCCATGGCTTTGCCCTGATCAGCCTAAAGTATGAATTTTCTGCTTTAGATTGAAACAAAGTTGAAACTGAAGAGACTTGACCATGTTAGTTGATTATTGGCACATGAAAGGATAGCATTAGTATTGGAAAGATGGGCTGTTGCTCTATGGAAGTTGTGCATCTTTAGGAACAGAAAGCTTATCTGCAGACAGTGGATATGATGTTCTTCTCCTCCTTTTGAATTCTGTACCAGCTAGTCCTTTGCAACACTGTTGACAGTATTACATATCTTGGTAGTATTTTATACCCTGGATTCATTTATTTATGCAGAATATTATTGGCCAAGAAGCAGGCAAAAGTATCACAGAGGAATATTTGCACCGTAGAGGACGCTCAGATCTCTGCAGCAGTACTTCAGATGTTCCAGGTTCAAGTTTACATGCCTATGTGAAGCCACGCCCAAAATTAGAGTCTTCTGGTGGAACAAAGAAACCATCTAGAGCAACAAAAGAGGGTTCATCATCCAATTATCAGGTAGAGTATCAGAAGTTCACTGTCGCCAGTAATGAGGTTGAACCAAAAAAGAATGCAATTTCGAGTTATCAGGAAAGCCAGGCTCCGGTTGAGATTAGCCAGTCAAGAACCGTGCATAAAGGGAACCAAAATAATTCTAAAAAGAAGAAAGCTGGGAAAGTTGTTTCACTTGCAGAGGCGGCTAAAGGTTCAATAGTTTTCCAGCAGGGTAAACCATGCTCTTGTCAAGCCCGTCAGCACAGACTGGTGAGTAATTGTTTGTCCTGTGGAAAAATAGTTTGCGAACAAGAGGGAGAGGGGCCTTGCAGTTTCTGCAGTGTCCTTGTTCTGAGGGAAGGCAGTACATATGCTGGCCTTGAAGAAAGTTATGCTCCATTATCTGATGCTGAAGCAGCAGCTGAAGCTTATGCAAAAAGGCTTGTTGACTATGATCGAAACTCTGCAGCACGTACTGCAGTAATTGATGATCAAAGTGATTATTATGAAATTGAGGGGAATAGTTGGCTTTCAAATGAGGTATTGAATCTCTTTTAATTAAATGGTTTCAGTCTTGTAGTCATTCTGCAATTATGTGCTGAAATTGGTATGCAATCATTTTTTTCTCTTTCAGGAGAAGGAACTGATAAAGAAGAAACAGGAGGAGATCGAAGAAGCTGAACGTGCCAAACGGAACAAAGTTGTTGTGACATTTGATTTGGTTGGCCGCAAGGTATTAATTCTTTGCTAATATTACCAGTAATATTTGCTTAATTTTGACTGTGGTCATACCCCAGATAGCCACCCACATGATGCCCAAAGAAATCTCTTTAATTCCTGTTGTTAAGTTGAAGTGTTTGGAAATTCTTTCATGTTTCTCTGTTGCAAATTTCTGCTGCTACTTTACTGAAATAAGTGCTTGTATCTGATATAATGCATGGTAAAGTGCAGGTGCTACTGAATGAAGATGAGGTCTCAGGATTAGAGATGGAAAATAGGATATTAAGACCACCAGATGAGAGAGAAGCGAACCGGATTAAACCAAATCCAACAGTTAGAATACAACCTATCTTCTTGGATCCAGGTCCTATCAAGAAGCCTGTTAAGAATAATAAACAAGTCAGCAAAAGCCTTGGAAATGGCTTATGTTTGGAAGTAACTGGGAGGGTGCAGCATGACAATCATGAGTTGAAGTATTTTGAGATCAGGAACCAGTCCGAAGTAGCCTCAAGTGGAAAATCTTGCAACCAGTAAATAGAGGTACTCATGAGGAAGATGGGGGTGAATGTTCTCTAGATTACAACTAAGCTCATCCTCTAGCTAAGGACTTTTTGGTGATCTTAACTCACTACGTACTCTGGTACTTTCTTTCTTTCTTTCTTCATGGTACGCTTGTTTGGCAAATCACAAAGTTTTAATTATTTTACTATTTAAAGACTTTTTTAGTAAAATCCTTGTGTCTGTTGATAGAGATTAATGAAGGAAAGGAATCCGAAATTGCAGATACAGTTCAACAGTCAGCTGTTATATATTTATATTCTCTCTCTTTCTCTCTGTCTCTCTCTCTCCCTCTCTTTCTTCCTCTCTTCTCCCATGTTAGTTTCTTTTTGGAAAACATGTATAGCAAATCACAGTTTCTTAGTTGTGATCTTCATAATCTGTCTCCAAAATATACATATTTGTATTCATTCAGTTGAAAGAATATGACACAGAAGAAAAAAGGAAAAAGAAAATTTGTTCTGTAGTTGTGACTGAGGAAAAGGATGATGTAGTTCAGGGCCATGAGAGAGCACGCAGAGAATATATAA